AGCATATCAGTTTTTATCAACATATCTGAGACATACTTAGATTGAGAAAGAAACAAACCATTGGACTGTTATGTAATTTGAATACCAAGAAAATAATGAAGAGGCCCTAAGTCCTTGATATCAAATTTTGAATGTAAAGCTCTAATAACCTCAGTAATTGCATCTGTAGTACTGCCTGTAATGATTATGTTATCGTCATACAATAAGAGAACAACAACTGATTGTCCAACATGTTTCACAAAGAGTGAAGAATCTAAGTATGTAGTAAGAAACCCCAGAGATGGCAAAAAATTTGTGAATCTGTCATTCCAAGCCCTTGGGGCTTGTTTTAGACCATATAAGGACTTGTGTAATTTACACACATGTGTTGAATGTTGAGGATCCAAAAAACCAGGGGGCTGAGACATGTATACTTCTTCTTATAATATACCATGAAGAAGGGCATTCTTCACATCTAATTGTCTAAGTGACCAACCAAAGTGAGCAGCAAGAGCTAATACTAACCTGACTATAGTTGGTTTAACCACAAGACTGAAGGTTTCTCCATAATCTATACCCTCCTCTTGATTAAAACCTTTGGCAATTAGTCTTGCTTTATACATGGAAATGGTGCCATCAACATCTTTCTTAATCTTATAAACCCATTTACACCTTATAAGATTTTTATATAGAGGAAGAGGAACAAAAGACCAAGTACCCTGAGAATGAAGAGCTGAAAGTTCCTCTTTCATTGCTGATAACCATATAGAAGATTTCAAGGCTAACTTATATGTTGCAGGCTCTGTTTGAGACAAATCCACTAACTGATCATCTTGAAGAATCGAGAGAAATACCTTTTTCTTAGATATCCCACTTTTAGACCGAGTATGCATTGAATGTGTATTTAGTGTTGGAATTGGTAGTATAACTTGTAAACTTTCAAGAGAAAAACTAATAGGATCTTCAGATTGCTCAGAATAAGACTAAGAAGTATTTGTCTGAGCCATAGGGTGAGGAGATGATAATGATTGAGAAAAACTTGTTGATATTGTTGGGATTGCAGTAATGAGTTGTATACTGGAACTGTGAGCATCATTGGTATCTGAAGAATGAGAACCAACAATGTTTGGCATAGCCGTATGACTAGGGACTATAGTATTCTGATGAGTGACAGACATATTTGGAGACTGTGATACAACAAATGACGGAGAAGACTTGAAACACAAAGGAATTGGGCATTTTGAAAGCAAACTAGTATATGGAAATTCAATTTCATCGAATATGACATGTTTGGAAACATATACCCTCTTATGAGATACCTCATAACAAATATACCCTTTATACTTAGTAGCATAATCCAGAAATATGCATTTTATGGTCCGAGGCTGGAGTTTGGTACTATTATAGGGTCTAAGTAGTGGAAAACATGAACACCCAAAAATTCTTAAATGAGTGATATCAGGAATGGAATTAAACAACAATTTAAATGGTGATTTGTTGTTTAAGGATGAGGTAGCCATTCTATTAATAAGACAGACAGCCACTTGACAAGCAAAAGACCAAAACTGTGGAGGTAATGCAGGAGTTTGTGAAAGTGTGATAGAGGTTTCAATGATATGTCTATGTTTTCTTTCAGCTAGCCCATTTTGTTCCAGAGTATTAGCACAAGACAATTGATGTTTGATTCCTTTATCAAGAAGAAAGGTTTGAAATGTTTTACTAATATATTTCTCTCCCCCATCACTTTGTAAGGTTTTAATGGTAGTTGTAAAATGGTTCAAAACAAAATTGTAGAAACCAACAAAGATAAAACAAACATCACTTTTATTGCTGAGAGGAAAAATCCAACAATATCTAGTGCATTCATCAATGAATGTCACATAGTATCTCAAACCTTCAACAGAAATACATGGAGAGGGACCCCAAACATCAGTATGTACAACTTCAAAGGGGGTAACATATTTTGACACGGAAGCAACAAAGGGCAGTTTACAGAGTTTGCCTTCCAGACAAGTAAAACAAATCATAGGTGATGAATCAAATGTAACAAACACTTTACATTGTTTTAAAATGGAAGACACTACAGAGTTTGATGGATGCCCTAATCTATTATGCCAAAGTGTAGAAGATACTTGTTGTCCAAGAAATGCCACTGGAGATCGAGTTGATGAAGATGATGCATGTGTTGAAAGTGGAATTGGATACAATCCATCATTGCAAAGCCCTTTGAACATTATCCTCCCCGTGGCCTTGTCCTGAATCTAAAACCAGAAAGCATCATATATCAACCATCAATTATTGTCCAGACATAATCGATGTACAGATAACAAATTTTGTGTTAATCTAGGAACATATAGGATAGAATGTAATTGCAGTGGTTTGATTGGAGTTGGAATACTGGAAGAACCAATATGTGAAATGGATAAACTTGCACCACTAGCTGTTTGAATTGTCTTTGTGGATGGATAGGGAGTAGCCAAGGAAAGATTATTTAGATTAGCCGTCACATGTGATGTAGCCCCTGAATCAGTGAGCCAAAACTACTGAGGAGGTGTACTTGGAACAACAGAATTTGAGACAGTGTTGACATGCATAGCAGTAGGTGAAGAATTCTGAACATTGGAGTTTTTGTAAAGACAAAACTGCGCATTATGATTCTTTTTACCACATATTTGACAACGTTGAACAGCTGCAATATCCGAATTCCTGAACCTGCAAATATCAGCCAAATGCTCGTATTTACTACAAATTTGACAGGTAGTGTTAAACTGGCCTTGCTTAGATGGTGGTGAATTTCCAAGAATACCAGGAGCATTATTGATGTAACCAAATTTGTTAATCCCAAACCTAGGCCGTGAATTGTTGTAAAATTTCCCCTTGCCCTTGTTCTTGTTAAAATTTGGCTTATAACCAGGAGCATTATAGAAACCAAGATTGAGAACCGTAAGAATTATTTTGAAATGAATTCCCAAATTTAGACTGATCACTAGAATTAGACTGTCGAACATAGCTTGAATTCTTAGAATCATTACCACCATTCTTGGCAACCATTGCAGTTAAGAAAGGAGTGGCATCCACATTTTCAATCATTGTTTCCTCAACAAGTAACTAAGAGCGAAGATCCTTCATTGAGATAACATTTTCTCTTCCTCGAATAATAGACCTTAAAATATTATACTCAGAAGAAAGACCATTCAAAGTTAATATCACAATATCATCATCCTCAAATGTTACTGCAGCAGCAGAAAGATAATCACAAGCTTCTTTGATTCTTTGTAAATACTGAGAAATTGAATCAGTACCTTTCTTGATGTTTTGCAATTCAGATTTCATCTGAAAGATTGTTGTACAAGTAACAATGGAAAATTGCTCGTTGAGACGAGTCCATAAGTCACGAGCACTGGTACTTCCAATTGCACAAGAAACGGCGGAAGAAGACAAAATGGCAGTGATCAACTGCATGAGTGCCTTATCATGCATCTTCCAAATCTTGAAGGTATCAGTCTCAATTGAATCCCCAAATGTAGTGGAATCAAACCGTGAGGGACAATGGTTGGTGCCATCGACAAAATCCATTATGCCATGACCTTCCAAAAGTAATTCCATCTGGAAATTCCACACAAGATAGTTGGAATCATCTAGTTTGACAGTAACAGATGAAGAAACTGTCGATATAAGAGAGGCAATAGGAGATTGAAGGATATGAAGTTGTGCATCCATCACCATAGCTTCAAATCAGAGAGAAACCCAGATGCAAATTCTTAGAGGAATTAAACCAAACACCTAGAGTGCACAAGAAGGTGCACAAGGAACCAAGAAATATAGAGAGATCAATAACCCAAGAAACGTGAGAAAGGGGAGCTGATCACAGATAGACAGTGGAAGCAGAGAAATCCAAGATTGAAGAACCGACAAGCATGAAGCTTTGCGGCGATTGATACCATGTAGACTATGAAGAACTTATCTTGCAGAAGAAGAAAGAAAGAGATAGAGAAAGAAGTAGAGATTTAGAGAGAGAGAGAGAGAGAGAGAGAGAATATTCAGTTTATTAATCATTCACAAAACTTAGTACAAGGTGGTTACACATGTTGGTTATATACTAGACTAGGTAGCTTACTAACTAAGCCACACACTCAACTCACAATCTATTGACATTTGTCATTCTATCTAACCATTGCATCATAAGCTCATAACAAACATCTAACAACCTATATTATTCATATCACACTCGACTCGAACGCACAGTCACTCGACTCAAACGAAACGGCACTCACTTGACTCGAACGAGATGCGCACGCACTCAACTCAAGTGAGATGCGTGCTCACTCGACTCAAATGCCACGCTCACTCGACCCGAACAGGTTTTAAAACCAGATAATGTTAGCACATTTCTTTACAGTTAAATCACCAAGGGAAAAAATACCAACATGATGTTCCAGGATTTTACTTTCAGTTGCGTTCTTACGACTGACGATTTGTGAAGGAAAGAGAGCTTTGTGTTTGCCCTCCCTGCCTTGCATAGCCACCATTACTTAATCTGCCCCTAGAATTGCAGATTATGAGTACAAATATTACAAGCCTCATGTCTGTTAGCACCTTCTTACATGTTTTAAACACCAAGGAAAAACTACAATGTAAGGTTCCAGGATTTTTAATTTCAGTTGAGTCTCTACGACTGACGATTTGTGAAGAGGAGAGAGAGACCTGTGTGCTTGCCCTTCCTGCATTGCATATGCACCATTACTTAATCTGCCCTAGAATTGAAGATTAGGAAACTTGAGTACAAATATTACAAAGCCTCACTCTCACAGTAAATTTCTCAGCAGAATTTCAAAGACGAAGCTCGCTTTAAGGTTTGTATTTGACCATGTTTCCATCAAGATGGTAAGCCCCTAATCGTGCTATTCTTTTAGTAAAAATAATCGGATAAGACAGAATTGTTTCTGATGGTTCATCAAATTGAGACAAACTGTTGAAATGAAATCACTTGCTCCAATTTTCATTTCTTGTAATGGGGTTCATATAGATTGTTATTTGAATGCGAGCATTTTAATAGTCAATCCGAAAAGGAACTGTATTCAGAAATATATGATACACCTCCACATTAAAATGCCAAAATGAACAGCAGAAAAAGGTACTCCATTTGAAAAGCGCCTTTCTTCATTACACTTGGCGGTGCCTTACAATTTATATATATTCCGAAGTGTAATGTGAGATGAATGGATGGCAGGATCTCACACATTGATATAAGAAAGTGTGGATTCCTTCTGCCATGGCTTAATTTCCCCATGTCAGCATTTCGGGGTTTCTATACATATTAGACAGGATCATCTCAGCCATCAGAATCTGTCTCACGGAATGGTAGAGGTACTGTCTTCACTGCCCTGTACTTGCCAACATTATTTAGATGCTCATTCTCTAACCTGTTTGACCCAAAAATCTAACAAGTTGAGAAGCTTGTGATTTTATTTGCAGTGCTTGTATAGAAGAATATGACTCAGGAGTTACCCTATTATTGGTCAATTATTTTGTTCAAAAATAATGTTGTACCTGTAAAAGTTCCAATGCCCTCGTCGGATAACCTCTAATGAAGCTAAGAGAAAGTCCAGCAATCGTGACTCAACATCCGGAATTCTATGAAATCCCATTACTGTTTCTACCCAAGCGACTCTTAGGACCGCATTCAAGGCCTGCATAAATTTGCACCATCTGTTTGAGTATTTTGAATGAATGTGGTTTATGCTAAGGAGGCAATGAAAGTATAGGCCACATAAAGATTTAAATAAAAACTCACAATGGAAGCATAGTAGATGCTTTTGTTCTTGAGAATAAGTTCGTCTCTTAGCCATAAGTTCTTGGATTTTGGGTCGAAAAGCCCCCAGTCCATGACAAAGTCCCAGTACAACTGGTAGACTGTAGCCACCACAGAGGTGATCACTACTATATAAAACCATAGGTGGCTGTGCGGGTTGTTAGCATATGTAATCCTTGATCCGGCTGCCACCATGGCAGAAACATATTTTCCCATGTTAGCCAAATGGTTAACGTCACATTCATCGAACCATCGTCTTGCACACTTGAAGTTCATTGCATATGGAAAAGGTTACATGTCAGTTGGACTAGCTAAAAGAATTATGATTTTCACTGAACAGAAAAATAATGGGAGAGGTTGCATTACTTGCATGGCGCGCCAGTAGTATGGCAAGAACGAGATAACATAAAGCAGCTCTCTAAATAGCCTTCCACTTCGGCAGGTTTCGTATTGGTGTGATCTGAAATTTCCAGCAAGAAAATAACAAGCTGTAGATTCCATGTGTCTCAGCAATGGGATCTACAAGCAGGAAGATCACGGTTCATTACATAACAAGAGATGAATGTTAAGAGTTATTTACTTTTAGGACTTGATTTACAGTGGCATTAGATGTTTTTTTGTATCCGTTGAAGTATAATGTGATTACCTGGCTAGTAAGTTGATCAGCCATAAAAAAATCTACCATCAAAACCTGCATAATTTTCAAATGACAAAAACAAAAAGTATATTAATTCTAATTTCAAAATATTGCGTAGCATTCTGCATATTTGATGAGAAGATGAGAGAAGCTGTAAATGTACCTTGTAAAGTGGTGAGCAGACTATGTTACGAATTACTCTGATGAAGCAGTAACGAGTTGGTCGATAGAAGATGTCTAATGGGCATACAAGCAGTGCAACAGCAAACTGGAAAATTCAAATGAAGATTAGCCCAATGTTTCATGATATATGTCTTAATTTTCTTAGTTACTTTATTTTAAAGCCTGAGTTTTGATTATTATGTTTTATACAAGTTACTCAACTCCAAGCCATCTTCCTAACAAGACCTTGATTAAAGCAATGAAACTAACCAGAAGGAAAACTCCAGGAATGGCATCAACTTGGCTAGGTAAGAAGTTTTTTGCCCTTAATATAAGGTGCACAACCATGGCAGCAACCACAGTTGTCATGAAGGTTGTGCATACGAGGAAGGCGTCGCGATACTTGAGGGCCGTGCTTGGTTGGAATTCAAATATAAAGTTGTAATTGATTCTTGTACTCTTCCACATGAATAGGTTGCACCCATACATAAACAAGTGCAGGCTGAGTAAGGCAAAAACACTGCACAAATTCACACCCTTAATTAGAGAAATGCAGACATGAATAAATACATAGCTGCAGCCCCCATCCTACACTTTGCAAACCAACAAAGGATTGGTGACTAAGAATTAGAGGTTTCGAACCCAAGACCTCCTATAACTAAAGCTTAAATACCTTATTAGAAAATTAAAAGACACCGAATTTTAAGTTTAAGAAATGAGCTAGTAAGCTAAGAAATTTCACGTTGTTAAGCATAAAAACTTCATTATCTAGCCACTAACATGAAGTTAGGGATATATTTGCTTAAATTAGTGTATTCAAGTGACTGACAATACATATCATCGCCACAATACTAACAATGCTATGGCTCAATCTATACAAATGATTCTCATACTCTCACCTCTGTTGGTGATATTGTCCGCAGTATGGTTCACAATTTTAGTGCAAATAGTTTAATTTTAGATCATATTAGAAACTATTGCTATTTTATGATACGATTTATATATGTTATCATTTTATATAGTATCTGCGTAAAAAAATTAGGGCTAATTAATATATAGATTGGGACCAAAGCCACTTATTATGACAATTTAGTAGTATTATTTTTTACTTGTAAGTAAAATGTTTAGTTCGATTCTTGTAAATGATGAGTTTGATATCAATTTGTTTTCTCCCTCCTATGTGTACATATATAACTTTTTAAAAGAAATATATGGGATGAAGAATGCACCTGAAAACAGGGTAGACAGTTTCCATGTAATCTCTTTCTGTGCTAGGAGAGAATATACCAGACAAGTGCGCTAAAATTGCATACACACTAAACAATGATACAAAACAACCTGTAAACAAACCTGCATCCACATAACAAAAAACGACCATGCTTTATTAAAAGATTGAGACCACAATCAGATCAAACAAAAAACTCATACAACAATCGGGCTCCTGATTTGTGGGGCACCAAGTAAATTTTTGGTGGCCACCATTCATTCAATTAAATATTGAGCAATCCCACTATCAGGATTAGTGGCAAGTAAAAGCTTTATACGATACGATGCAGATTAATGCGGTTCATGTTGGCCCCCAGGACTAATCATGCATCATATTGCACTGCATAAGCGATGTTTCTGTCATTAAACTTTTGTGCCATTTGGTGAAAAGGCCCTTTATGGCACAATAGTTAAATAATCATTGGACTAGCATTATATAGTGACCTTCCTTATATTATATGAAGATGTATTTGACACTTTAAGATAGCCATTATGTATTTTAAATTTATAAATATATATGGAAATTTGTATAAAGCACATATTTGGATTGCCAGCCAGTAATAACCTCAGAAATATTTACATGTATGCACTCTTATTAATTATTTGTGTATGTGTGTGCGTGCGCGCACGCATATTACAGAGAGAGAGAGAGAGACAGAGAGAGATTACCAACAAAAAAGGTAACCGTATGAGAATCTTTGTTTTGTTGTGGCCTCAAAAACTTCATTGCCTTTTTCTTGTCATTACTGGCGAAGTGCTTTGTGAATATGGACTCCACTTCGTCCATTAGTCTAACAACCTTTTCAAACCATATATAACAATACACACAAGCCCAGTCAGAAAACCATTAAAACTGTCTCCAACACTAGTTAAATGAATTAAAAAATAGAAAAACTAATAAAAAGAGCTTGAAAACTTTGAGTTTTAATGATAAAGACAAAATAAAGGGTAAAGTGAATAGCACCAAGATTGATTTTTTAGTGTAAAATTGTGATTTTTCGTTAAAATGAACAGTACCATGAACTTTTCGTTAAAATTCCCTTAAAAAATAGCACTAGAATATTTTGAATTCGTAGTAAATCTTCTTTTATTAAATTATTATTTGACGTGTTAACATGGAGACGGCAATAACAAGTCAAACCTCTCCACTCAAAAACTAAGTACAACTAATACAAAATAATGATCATGGTCATTATACAAAACAACGGAAAAAGAAATGAAAATCATGGTAACTAGAGCAGATTCAAGCACCAAGCATGTGCATATTAGTTAGATTAGGGTTGCAGCTAGGGTATCAGACTGGTTACCTTGTCAGAACAAATGAAATGTGATATCTTCACTGCTTTCAGATAACTTTCTGACGCCTGCTGGTTTGATACCTATACATGGAAAAACTTAGTTGCTCCAAGTTATTACTTACACCAATAGTGGATGTGGTAAATGTGTATAAAGCAACAATAAGATCGACAGAATTTGGAGAAACAAAACTTGATAAGCACTGTTATACACCTAATTAAATGTGCATGACTCATGACCTGTATAACCACCTAAAAGTAAAATCCCTAATAAAATCAATGCAGCTTAATAATCCTATCCTATCATGGCTCATGAAGTTGAGATATTTTTATTTGCTAATTAAATGAGGCTGAAGAAAATGGTAAAATATCAAAATATATTTTAATATAATATTTAATCTAACAAAAATATCGTTTGACAAAAAACAAATTAATGTATATCTTACCTTGTCGAATTTCTTTAGGATCTTTGTAAAAGCTACCATATTTAGTGAGCTGTAGAAGTTACAAATTTGTTTAGATACTTAATCAAGTACTTAAAGAAAACATACTTAAAACTACAATCATTAGGTAAGCTAAATAATGCGTAGATCCAGTGTTACACTGCACAATTAAGTAGCTTTCACTATTAAGACGGTGTTTGATTCCTTCCACTTCTCTATTTTAGAAAGAGAACTATTTATTAGTATATGGTATCACCACCTTGATAATTTTCATATCCATGTGTTTTCACCCAGTGCCCACATCAGCAGCACAATAAAAGGGTCATTTGTTATATACCTTTCAGAAACTGTTGCTAATGCTTTTGCTACTTGAGGATACAAATGCTCAAGTCAAAGTGAAGGATTCTGCAAAGATCCCATCTGCGTGCTTAAACATGTATATAAACCAAATTCTATACGTATACTTTAAAAATAAAAATAACAGAAAATGTGGCCCAAATTAACGAGGACGCCATTCGTTTCTAACAAACTAGATTTAAGCCACATAATTGACCGCCCTGCTGACTGTTCCTATAATCGACACGACACCATATTGTTACGTGGTTTATTTCTATTGTTGTTCAGAGAATCAGAAAATATGTTCCAAATGTCTCAGTTATTGGTTTGATTGCTTTTAACCGAGTCTGAAACAGTAAAAATAGCTGAATCGCACCAAATTTAATATTTAAGCTTTTTTTTATCCCTAGCTTGTAAATCAAAGTAATTGTTATAAAAAGAAAGAGATAGAACCTGTAAGTTTTAAGCAAACCAAGACCTCTGTAGAGCTCTACAAAAGCTCCTCTAATCATCTTTTCAGCACACTGTATCTTCTTTCGATTGATGAACTCTCCGGGGCCATCCTTTTTAGGATTGTTCACTAAATCTTCCCAAAGCATTGATGTAACAGCTGTGATAGTTCTTGTCGGTGTTGTGTTTGGAATATCAATCCTCATGGCCGTTTTAGGTTTGCCTTTCTTCGTCTTACCCCCAGTTGTCGTGTTAATAAAGTTAACACCATTTCTTTCTAATGCTGCAAGTGCTTCACTCGTTTGTGTTATTTCTGTAGGGGCCGTATTCGATTCCGCCACGCTCTCTGCATCAAGGTCGATTAATAGTAATTAATGCATGGCTTCATAATTTTTTTATTTTGAAAAATTCTTTACAACCTAATTCTTTTCTCGACTCTCCCGCATCATATAGGACTTAATGAACATGTAACATTATTATGTTTGGCATGTCTATCCTATGTAAGTTCTTGATCGTTCTTAATGAAGTTTCATCGGATTAAAAAAAGGAGGACCATGCATGTAAGACTCACCCTATACAAAAAAATGTTATTAGGTCATACACCATCATCTCTCAATTCTATCACGAGTAATAATGCTACTAAGACTAATATTTGGTATTTTTTTTGGTTGATATGATTCTTTTGATAAACTCCCTCCTTCTTCAACAGCATTTTTTTTATTCAGTTTAATAGTTTTTATGTAGAGCTTATATTCTTAGCAAATTTATAGGGGAACATGGAAAATATTTGAGACAGAACAGAAAGAGTAAATTTTGATATATTTTCTTTATGCCTTTCTCAAAAAAGAGAAAAGTTGATGACAATAGCGTTAAAGATTTGGATTTGTCCAGAATTTATCTTCCTCCAGCTGTGATAGATAGATATTAGGTAGGTGCACTAACGATTAGACTTGCGACTTGAAAGCCAAAGTGCCATAAAGACCACGAAAACTCCCATACGTTTAGTATACCATATAAAGTGGTTTATTTGCATATGTATATCCATTAAACCTACAAAGTTGACAATTTATCACTTGCAAATGTGAAAGAGGATTGAGAATGCAAGCAATACTTGCAAGAAAGAAATGTGACCTCATATTGCACTACTAGAATTCGAGTACAGCCATGGATTTTGTGGCCACTGATCCTTAACAGCTAATTTTCTTTTGCTAAACCACAAATAAAGACCGAAGTTAATTATTAAGGCACTGGCCTAAAGAGTCCGTATCACCATGAAGAGAGGGAGGTAGAATTTATTTTTGGTTTGATCTAATGTAAAACGACCCAAATTTTTTTCCCTTTATGGGCATTATTAGGTGGTCCATGGCCTTGTCATAATCTAAAAAGCAACACTAAATGGTTTATTTTCTGTATCTCTTTTGTTGCACATGAACAGTCTCGAAATTTCCATGTGTTTCCACCTACCTCATCATGTGGAAGTCCATGTAAGCAAAACTCTGTTAATTTGGCCAGAAGTATAATATCAACACAGAAAACATAAGCAGATGTCCTATTTCGAAACAAGAGGCTTACCGGTACTGAAGTCGGAATTCCGGGGAGAAGAAGACCATGAGCTGGGAACACTCGGGATGTTGGATTTTGATCCAGAATTCTTCCACCGCCGGTAATTGAGAATTTGCTTGAGGTCCAGCAAAATCTGTAGCTGTTTGTTCAAAATCTCTCCTCTCTCAAGAAACTCACTCTCTTTCGTCTTGTAAAATTGGTTCACTTTGTTAAGTTCTACATCTAGTGCCTCAAAAAACACCCTCACCTACATAAACACCAACCCAACACATTAAATATTGCCCTAATTAAAATGTTTTTCAATAAATAAAAAATTAACTAACCCTAGTCACCTTAATTACTTTGGATTGGTTAATTATTTAGTGGTAAAATTTGTACCAATATCTGTTAATACCTCATCCTCCGATGAAAACAACTGAGCGAGCTCTGTCTCATAAATTTCTTCTTCGTCACCATCCTCCATGATTTTACTCTTCACCTGTGCAACAGAAAAAGATCCATAATAATTTATGGGATTGCTGTCTTTGTTTTTTAGTGTCTTTTCATGTTGGTTTTGGATTTACTTTCACATGGTCACGATGGTTTCGTGATATGAGTATGTCTACAACTACAACCGTTCCATAATTTGCTTTCGTGAGAAAGATCGAAACCCTCAAAAAAGTCTTGTAAGAAGACCAAAAGAAGGGGCACTATACTTGCTGGACTCTGAAACATTTTCTGACATTTCCGGCCACTTTATTAACGTTTTGAACAAATTATAATGTACGCCGATCATTGAATCTGTTAACTAAACAAAAAGGGGAGCCTAGTTCATGGAAAAGCAAAAGAGCATGTATTTGATGAGAAAAAAGATTAAAGAAGCCGCTGTATATAAGTCATTCCTGTAGTCCAATGGCTAATGTTCATTTTAGAAAGACCCACTTTTATGCGTTAAAGAGGGGAAATTATTGTCTGGTTACTCAATTTTAATTTACAGAATATTGTTTGAACAGGTGATGCTACATACACTAAATTTGTTCACCAAATGATATGACACATTCTACACCATATAATTTTTAATTATAATTATTAATCGATTTCCAACTTAAATTAAAGTACAAATTTATTTGATGACACACCATTTAGTGCACGTATCTAATGTGTCCAACATTATTCTTGTACGATGCACAAATGTAATACCAATATTATGTTTCTTTTTTTTTTTTTTTTTTTTTTAAAGAAAAACCTTGTGGTGTTGATTTTGTAAAGGGGTCTTTGGAAAGACGCCTCTAGCCTCCTCACTAATCGAAGCCAATGTTATTTCCATTGTGCCATGCACACATATCATGCATATTTCCAAGGGCGAGAAAGCGAAGCATCTATATATTTATATACCCTAAAACATTCACGGCACCGGCACTGATGTAAAGCTTTGGTGCTTGTGTCACTAAAGTGGATGTTATGGCTGACGAGTGTTGAAAGGACGTAACTTTAACAGAGTGAAAGGGACGAGGAATGAAGAAGATTTTAAGCAGTGGTATCGGAGGATCGGTTTAGGAATCAGAGTTTTGGAAACACAACCCGAAACCTTTAGCCTGAAAATGACGTGATTACTGGAGTGTTTTGCAGGTCTGAACACAACCCACAAGGAAGGACAAAATCCAAAACACACCAACTTTATTTTTATTGGGGAACTAATGAAAAGAAGGAAAGAAACTTAAGTTAACCAAGTTTTTGGAGTTCTTTATTCCTTTTAGATTTGTAAACTTGTTAACAATTGCCTGAAACTCGCCTGAAAATCCAAAGTAGGCAAAACCCTTCCTAGCAACCACCTATAAACCTCAAAAAAAAAAAAAAAAAAAAAAAAAAGAACTCATTGAAAATTATTATGTTAATAGATATATAACTATTGACATGTTCTATTCGTGTGCATTAATTGATTACCTGAATTATCTCCGTTTTGTTATCGAAATTGAACAACATTTCGCTAATTCTTTTGGTGACAAAGCGAACTGGATCGAAAATGGAGACACCGAAATCTCTGGCTGCGTCTGAGGGTTGTTTGGGGACTCTTGAAAGCTTGATCTTCTTAACTTGTTTCTTGAGTAGCCAGTAGTTGACGAAAGCACCCTTCCATTCTGGTATAAGCTGAGCTTCCAGCTCCTTTGAGAACTTCACCATTCTTGTTATGCGTGTGTGAAGGAAAAAGGAGGAGAAGAGAGGAGAGTTTATTAAGAAGTATTAGAGAGAAATGAAAGTGGTTTATATAGAGAGGCAGGAGAGAGAGAGAGAGAGAGAGAGAGAGAGAGAGAGAGAGAGAGAGAGAGAGACGTATAGTAAGAGTCGAATGATTTGCTTTTGGGACAAAAAATTTATCCAATAAAAGACAAATTTAATTGCATCAATAAACATAAATATATTGCTGTCGACCGAAAATTAAAAACAAAGATATATTGCTTATTCTCACATTAGTACCTAACACACAATTCACCTGTATTACAGATTGTACCAGTTTTATGTATAAAAAGTTAAACAGAGTTATTGCTCTCGTTTCTCCATCTCTTTCAAATTTAAAAATGTAAAAAGATATTTATAGCTGATCAAGTAATAAAAAGAGAATTCATCTTGCAGTTAAGGTTCTGTGTTCAAAACTACCGTCTATGAGAGAGCTTCCTTGCACTTAAGGTTATGTTTAAATTATTCCCTTGGGATAAAGTTTGCTTTTCAAAAGAGAGTGGTGGCCTGGGTATTAGAAAGAGTGTTCGTTTTAACAATGCTTGCTTGGCCAAGTTGGGCTGGAAAATCATTACTGATGAACAAAATTGATGGGTTCAAATTATTAGAAATAAGTACATAAGACATGAGAGTTTCCTGGAAACGAAAGTTAGGCAAAATCACTCTTGTGCCTGGAAAGGCTTCTTAAATGCTAGGCATGTTGATAAGATGGAGAAATTTTTCCATAATAGCTGAGTTGGGGTTCCCAACTAATCAAAAGTTGCCACCAGTCTCTTTTATTTTTTAAAATGAAAAAAATCCAAATTAAAATTTTTTATCAACACAATTTCTGAATTACCCCTATCACAGTGAACAATTCACCATCTCGTCCACGCCAAAAAATCACCAGAAAGCAGCAGCTACCCACCCCCATCGCCGACCGGCTAATTTATCAGGGCACCCCATCTCTTCTCTCTCTTCCTATTTTTCTTTCTCGTTTTCCCTCGATTTCTCCACTCTTAATTCGACATGGAAGCCGATGGATGTTTAGCGGCAACTCAACCTCAAATTTGGTGTGTCCAACGCCGATCTAACTGATGGTGAAGTGGTCGACCTTCCTGTGTTCTTCTCCGGTGTAAGACAGGAGGAGAAAGAAGAAAAGGAGAGAGAAAGGAGAAAGAAATTAGAGAAAGGGTAATAGAGAGGTAAAGGGATGGGAGGAATGGTGGGGGTGGGGCGGAGGGTTCCAGATTCTGAAGGGTAATTTGAGTCATTTGCCTGTTTTCTTTATTGATTTTTTTAATATAATTTTAATTATATTCTGGGCAATGAGATTTAAAGATCGAGTAGTTTAAGAAGATGATATCCTAGGTGTCAGATATTTATAGGAGGGAATTCCAACTGTCCTATGTACCCGGCTCCTGAAAAAATTTCTCGTTAAGATGAGGTTAAGATGGGTGGTGGGGAAATGGAGAAAGCATTCCTTTTTGGACCTATAATTGGGTTTTTTCTTTGCCTTTGTCTAACCTCTTGAGCAATGATCAATTAAGTAGTATCAACTAGAACCTGAAAGTCAATCACTTTCATTAATAATTGCAATTGAGATCAAGATTTGCTTTCTTCTGTTGTATATACAGATATTGTTAATAAGATTTGTAGCATTCATTTGCTTCTAGCTCCTCAACATGATTCCATTTGCTGGGGGGCCTAATGCAAATGGCAATTTCTTGGTTAAATTCGCAACCTGGATCCAAAACGGTGCAAATAATGGTTGTCATTCTATTGATCTCCTAAAGAGAATGTTGAAGCTTAATATACCTCATAAGGTTAAATTATTTAGTTCGTAGCTTATCATGGGAAGACTTCATACTCGAGATTGTTTATCATGACATATTATTAACATTCCAACCAGTTGCCTCTTTGGAACTCTGAGAATGAAAGTATAAGTATTCTTTTTATGAATTGCACCTTTGCTAACCAAGTTTGGAGCAATCCAGAAATTATTAATACTATAAAGATAAATCGTTCCATACAGTTCAATGATTGGCTTAAGTCTCTTAACTATAAGATGGATGAAAATCTAAACGACTTAAGCGTCGTTTTGCTCATCTGTTGGCAAATTTGGAAAGAGAGAAACTTAAATTGGTTTTCAGAATAAAAAAAGCAGACCCTAAGAGAGGTTGTTATTGCCCTAATTATTGGCAAGGAGTACTTAAAGCAAATCAGAAGATTTCAATTTCTAGTAGAAGGAATGACAAATCCATCAAATGGTCCCCCCTGATTCTGGCTTTGTTAAATTAAACTTTGATGGTTGTCTTATCAACCAAGGTTTGATCATTAGAAATGAGAATGGGAAGCCTATCTTAGATGGGGCTCGTAGAATTGGACATAACACTAAATCTGTTGCTGGATGCCTGGCTCTTCATGATGGATTATGGATGGCAAAAATTAGGAATTTCAAAAGAATCAACTTTCAAGGAGTCTCAAAACTTGTAATTGATTCCATCCGAGGCACTTATCATATCCCATGGAGACTAAGACGATTTTGGAGGACATCCGGAAGATGGCCAGTTCTTTTGAGGTTATTAGTTGGAGGCACATTTTCAAGAAGGCCAATTTTTTTTTTTGCGGGTGCTATCACTAATGTTGGGTATTCCATCAATAGTTTGTATGTTTGGGATAGATCTCTTCCTTTAGTTGCTCAACAAACCTATTTGTTTGATTGTACTCAAACTGGTTGCCTTAGGGGCTTTTCTCTTTAATGGATTACTTTTTCATAAAAATAAAAGTAAATAAAATAAAAGACTTAAGGTTATGTGTTCGAGTCACTTTCAATAATAGTTCACCTTTGCAGTTAAATTTATGTGTTCAAAGTCTGTACTATCGCTTGTTTAAAATGAATTAAAAATTGCTTAAATAATGAATCGTGAGAATAATGCCTTTGAATGTGACTTTTTCTACTACCCGTTAAGGAAGTGGTATTTCCTACTAGTTTGAAGATATAGGACGTGCTCAATTTAATCTTAACGTAAGGTGATAACGAACCCATCATTCACTTGAACGCTACAAGAAAATAAGGATTCTTGATTGATGTACTGTGCAATACACACGTTTTTGAATGAAATTCGATATTTGGCAACACTTATTGATCAAAATAGCACAGTAGATAACAGTTGGGTAATGACGCTTGGGACGGACGAAAATAACTTTTAAGGCTTGAATGCCGTCTAAGGTTGACGGACCTGATCTATCAAAATTCTGGGTATTAAGTTGAGTAGATCTGATGATTGTGTTGCTTTTCCTATTTTTAAAGAAATTTTAGCATATTGGTTGGAAGTGGGTTGTGGGTGGATGAGAAAGGCCTAGCATGGAGATCGTTCAGGGTTGTGGGGGCAGAAGCTGCAAATGGCTGCGATGGATGGGAGAAGATGAGCTGATGCGATGTGTGGAGAAGAAGTAGTTGTGAATTGTGATGGGTGGTATGGGAATTGATTTGGTTGAAGCATGATTAAATGTTTTTTTTTCTTATTTTTTTAGCACCAATTAGTCGGACACATCATAAAATTATGGGTCACACATGGTACCGCACATCATCATTTAACAAATTAATTAACAGAAAATTTAATGGATGTATGAAATTGCAATTTTTTTTTTTGTTTTTGTCAAACGATAAATTATGTTAGATTAGCCACCGACGGAGTTCGAACCCACGCTGTCATGCAATGACTCAACAACTTTCAACCACTGTGGTAAAGGGCCACTTGCTATGAAATTGCAATTATATGATAAGTAATGTATGAGGTTAAAATGTTTTAAAGATATTGTATGAGGTTGCAATTGCACTCAAACTTGAAAGGGTAAAATGTAATTTACCCTTGATTTTTCTACATAAAGAATGACACGTGGAAAGTCATTTGAGAAATGCCTCCACAATATTTTCGAGGCCAATGACATGAAGAAGATGTTAGTCATCTTTGATTTCAAATAGGAAGTTCCAATTGATGTGGGTGTGTCAGCTTTTTTTCACTTCTAAGAAAGGGATTCTTGTTCAAAGTGATGCACCAGTGTACTACAAGAGATGGATGAAGGCCCCAGCTGAAGATAAGGAAAAATTGTTGGCGTCATTGCTAGTGAGTTTGATTTTACTTGGATTTAGTAGTAATAATTTCAACCGCTCACTTAGATATTTTTATTTTGATGTTATATACTATTTGAGGTGTACCTATCTAATTTGAAGATTCTTGAATGTGTGAATAAGAAGTTGGGGAAGTCGTACTTTTAGTTTAGGTTTCGGTTGCATGAGCACTATTTATTATCTCAAACATCTACAAGAAGACAAGCTAAGTTGCCTAAGAAGTCATTATGGAATAAGAGACCAACGAGTCATTGACACTAATTATGTGATGATATTTACACTAGTATAGTCTTTTGGGATGTATTATATAGAACATATTCTTATGCCACCTTGTTGCAATAATTTGCCATCTCTTGCCATCTTGGTTATCAAACATACTTGAAAGCACAACCTTAGACTATTCTTCACTAATGTTAGTATTTCAATGGAAATTGAGATTAATTTAGGATCCAACTTATAAGCATATTCAATAATTTAACACGGTTTTAACTCCATGTTGGTTTGAGGTCAAAATTTCATATTACAATTTACATTTGCAAATCAGGGCATAGACTCATGAGCCTAACCAAAAGTGTGATGTGATGACAAATACTTTACAAGCATTTATGGATTAATGGTATTCCTTTTTCCTCTTATGTATAATGTTGCTCCAAGTAGTTGTCATAATGACATTCTAATGTAAGATGTTTCCAAGAAAAATGCTTATGATCAAGAGGAACAAAAGTACTATCACCAGGGAAGGGCAGGGCCATTCATCCATCTTGGAAGACTATAAATAAATTCGAAAGGACGCGTGTACCTTTTATGCGGAAGCTTGAATCTCAACACGCTCCTACAAATAC